ACCAGGGAGTGTGGCAATGAGGAATAAAGAAGACTGTGTTACGCGCCATGGACCAGAGCACGCAGGTGTGCAGAGCTGTGGACCCAACGCTGCCGTGTGGGATGTAGCCTCATGTCTGGGGGTGGGAAAAGAAGGGGATCCAACCAAGGGAAGTCAACATTAATAGAGAGGAAAGGTATCACATGTTAATGGTCCTCCATGGATCACCCCGGAAAATGTCTCTGCAATCCAACACTGATTCCTCCTTCTGGAAATGACCGGCAGACAGTCCAGAGAGCATTGGCCCTAAATTGTCTCCCGGAACCTCCTGGGATCACCAGATCTATTCCCAAGGCTCCCACTCTGAGGGGTGCATTGTCCTCTCTGCTGTTCACCTCCCGGCTGCATTTTAGGGGCTTCTCTGGCTGTGCTGAGCCTCAAATAACAGAATCCCGAGGACCACCAGGATCAAGCCAGCCATGCCCATGCGGATGAGATTCTCCAGTGTGTAATCTTAGGGGAATGAGGTGGGGGATGGTGGACAAAGAGGCCGCAGAGGTCACGGCAGGTCAGAATCACCCCGGGACCCCTGGATGTCCACCCAGGGCACCCACCTCCCCTTCACAGGACCTGACCCTCTGTGCCAGCCCCATAACTGAAAGCATCTCCTCACTCACCAGTCTTGGGGTCTGAATTGTTTTGTGATGGGCTGAGGGTCTCAGCTGCTCCTGAGAATCAAAACGAAGGAGAAGTACCCTGAGCCAGCCTCTCTCCTAGGCTCTGCATTCTTATCTTCCCCTGTCTTCTGACATGAGTTCTAGTGAGTTCCTCAGTAAACCCTTCCTCTGTAGCAGGGTTCCCTCCAGTCTCCTCATGGAACTATTTCAGCTTTCCTGTGTTCTACAAATCCAAACGTTGCTCTTGAGTCATTTGGGAGAGAGTTTTCCTGTACCCCAAGGGCTCAGGATCTGCAAGGAAAGTGTCCCCAGTACAGAAATCACTGAGCCCTGTGTGCTGTCAGTGCAGCCTGGGACACAGGAGCACATGAGCCAATTCCCCCGGAGATGAGAGTTTCACGGATCCACCAGCTGAGGACCCAGGCTCCGTGCATGAGGGGTTGGTCCTCAGGGGCGCCTCAATGTCAGAAGCAGAAAGTGGTGAAAGTCTGGGGCTGCCTCGCCTTCATGCCCTCAGCCACTTCACCTGGGTTTTCAATGTCCAATTAATCTAACTAATTCTTCATATAATCAGGAAAACCTAGAATGATGTGATACCTTCCTTTCCATCCCCACTCACAAACATCTGTCTGCTAAATAGTGGTGCTATTAGAAGTTCATAAATTAGTATTTCTGCTTTTACAAAGTGCGAATCTAGGTGAATCTAGACCAGTAACAAACATGTAAACTCCCACCACACAAAATATCTTTTTATTTATTTATTTACTTATTTATTGAGATGGAGTCTCGCTCTGTTTCCCAGGCTGGAGTGCAGTGGCATGATCTCAGCTCACTGCAACCTCCGCCTCCCAGGTTCAAGTAATTCTCCTGCCCCCAGCGTCCCAAGTAGCTGGGATGACAGGTGCGTGCCACCACCCCCAGCTAATTTTTTGTATCTTTAGTAGAGATGGGGTTTCACCATGTTGGCCAGGCTGGCCTCGAACTCTTGACCTCATGATCCTTCTGCCTCAGCCTCCCAAAGTGCTGGGATTATAGGTGTGAGCCACCGCACCAGGCCTATTTTTATTTTTATTGAGATGGAATCTCACTCAGTCGCACAGGCTGGAGTGTAGTGGCGCTCTCTTTGCTCATTGCAACCTCTGCCACCTGGGTTCATGAGGTGATTCTCATGATTCAGCCTCCTGAGTAGCTGGCACTACAGGGGTGTGCCACCATGCCCAGCTATTTTTTTTGTATTTTTAGTAGAGATGAGCTTTTACCAGGCTGGTATCAAACTCCTGACCTCAGGTGATCTGCCCGCCTTGGCCTCCCAAAGTGCTGGGATTACAGGCGTGAGTCACCATGCCTGACCATCAAATATATTAAGAATATGGATGAATATATATCAGATGAACTTGGATATGCCTACACACATACTCAAATGTAACTTATATAACCACACATAAATACGTATAGATATAAAGCGTTAGATATTTATTTAAGATGTAGTTACATACATGTTGATATTTAAAGTGAGAAATATTGGCACACAATATAGAAATAAAGAAGTAAAATTTCCATTGTCTCGTGGTTTGTATAAATTTTATCAGGAAATTAGAAGAGATCCCTAGAAAAGCAGTGAGAATGGGGTCATTTGGTAGTGAGTTAGCACGAAACACAATGAATATACTCAAACTCAGCTTTCTCATGGATAATTACCTTTTATTTTTAAAATATGAAAGAATAAAGTACTTCACTTATAAGTTGTTAAAGGTGTTGAATAATTCTTTAAGTTGGAATGAATATAATTGTTCAAATGTCCACTCAGGACACCCAGCTCCCCTTGACAGGACCTACCCACTGCGCCCAGCGTCTTCACCGCGAGCATCTCCTCACTCGCCGGCCTTGGAGTCGGGCCTAGTTTGTGGCAGGCTGAAGGTCTCAGCTGCTCCTGAGAATCAAAACAGAGGAGAAGAGACATTCAGATGTAACTTATATAACAAATTCTGTATAAGGTTATATACAACTTACATAACCTCCCTGTCAAGGAGAGGTGGGGGTCTTGGGTAGACATTGAAAAAATTATGTCCACTTTAATTTAAAGAATTATTCAACACCTTTGACAGTTTATAAGTGAAGTATTTGATTCTTTCATATTTTTTAAACAAGAGGTAAGTACCCATGAGAAAGCTACCGGTTTGGGTATATTCACTGTATTTCATATTAACTCACTACCACATTGCCCTCTTCTAATTTAAATTTAAATTATCAAATTTAAAGCACCTCCTTTTCCTATAAAATAGGTTTATTTAGATGTTAGAATCATGCAGTGATTGGACAAGATTGGACATGGACCCACCCGGGCCCAGGGCTGAGCTGCACTGCAGCCCCCGCTGACCTCCCGCGGGTTTCACGAGCCACACGGAGCCCCCCGGTCAGTTTCCCTCGGGCCACTGTGCTTTGAAACATCCAAACACTTCTGAAGCTCATTAAGGAAACCTCAATTTTTAATATGTAGGGGAGGAAGACTTGAGGTTAATGAAAAATGGATGTCTACATTGAATATATAAATCAAATCACAGCCCAATGAAAGAAGTATGATAATTTTTAAATAATAGGTTCACATAACTGAAATAAAAATTATAAATTTACATATTCAAGTATTGCTTTAAAAGGTTTAGAAAAGAAGAGAGTAACAATGGGCAAGTACGTATAGAAAACGCAGAGTAGAAATGAGTTACACACAAGATGCACTGTGAATAATTGCCTAACTCATCCAGGGAGCAGGTGCACGGCCCCTCCTTAGTCTCAGGGTGCCCTGAGCACAGAGGCCTCCAGGTGAACACAGGAGGGGCCGTGTGAGGGGCATCCACAGCTGGGATGCTTCTCAGTAAAGGAGCAGATCTGGGGCAGACTCCAGCCTCATCACAGTCAGATCCCACTGAGGCCCGAGCAGCCTCCTCTCCCGTCCTAAGACGGCCCAGGGACCCCGCAGGTGTGGGTGAGGGGCTCCATCCTCAGGGGCCCTTGGAAATAAGAAGTGAGAACGGCCAAGGGAGCATCTGTCTTTCCTGTCTCCATCTCGCCTGCCTCTCTTCCTCCTCCATCAGCTCAGTATCTTCCCCGTGTCCAAGTCAGGCCTGGACCCCAAATCCTCCTGACCCAGCCTGTGCTCCTTCCTCTACTCATCACACATCCTGCAGGACAGGGTAGGGGCCTGGGGTCATGCAGAGCTGTGACAGGAGTGGCTTTCCGTATAAAATTGGAGGGATTTGGTCTTTTACATGAGAGAGGGGAGATTCTAAAACAATGGGGCTTTGTAAACCTTTGTTGTTTCAAAATAGTGTGGCTTTGTCTTACTAAGCTGAGATTCCAGGGGGGATGAGTAAAACTGCATGCACCTGCCCCCATCTCCGTTGGCTTTTTAACCCTTACAAGCCTCCATTATTGGGAGAATTAGGACAGGGCCAGAGAGGGCTGCAGGCGGGAGCAGATCTAGGAGGAGCCACATCCCAGATGCCCCAGAAGGCAGAAATGAAGGGGTTTTGGGGTGGTCACATCCAGGCAGTTCCCCGTTATTCAGATGAGGCGTCCAGGGTGCGAGGAGAACCAGCTTTTTCAGAAGTTCCACCTCCCAAGGAGAGGCTGAGCCATCACAGACCCAGCCCCACCTCCCCAGGCTCCTCCCACCTGACTCCTAGAGCAAGTACCTGCCTGTGATCGCCCCTGGCCCTGGCTCCCCATGAGAGGTGATGGCTCCTGGGAATCCTGCTCGGGGAGGGGGAAAGTGCCCGCTGCTCCACTCATCAATGCCGAACCTCAGACACCTCCCTCCCCTCTGACCACCACGGAGGGAGCACCTGCCCCATCCTGGAGCACCAGGAAGCCACGCGGACCACACCCTTACTGTCCACCCTGCCCTCTGCTGCTCTGGAAATCAGACCCTGCTTATTGGAGGTAGCATTGAGATGAGTCTAGAAACTTCTCTCGAGCTGGGAATGGCTGTTTCTTTGTCACCCATGAGTCAGGACTTAGAGGTTGGGACCCCCAGAGGCTCTGATTCTGAGGTGGAGACATCAGGAGGGGAGCGGGTGGGGCCTCCGTCTTCCACCCTCAGTCTAATCTCATCTCTGAGCTTCACCCCCGTCTCCTCCCAGCCCTCCCTGCTCTTTACCCTACTGAGACTTCAGGGGTGGGAGCCAGGGGTGGAAGGTCCCGTCTATTTCCACCCTCTCATGGGCTGGGCCCTTTCCTGTGGACCCTCCCCCCTTCACTCCCCTCTTTCATTATTGTCCCAGAGCTCTGCCGGGGGCAGGGCCTGAGCTGAGCCTTTGAGTTCAGAGGGGACAGGGTCAGGGCCCTCACCTGAGACCACGAGCTCCAGGGGGTCACTGGGGTGAGTCAACAGGTAGGGGTTGGAGCTGAGTGAGCCGTAGCACCTGTAGGTCCCCGCGTGGGCTGAGGTCACAGGACTCATGGGAAATTCAGCCTGGTACTTATGAGACCGGCGCTTTGATTTTAGACGCAGGGGGGGATCAGCTGCTCCCTCCTTGGTCAGAAGGAAAGTGTGCATCCATCCCTGTGACTGACACAGCAGGGTCACGTTCTCTCCTGAGGCCACCGTGGAGCCCGGCTGCACTGAGAGGAAGGGTCTGGCACGAATCTGTCCTGGAGAGAAGGATGGATGAGGAGCTGCCCCACCTTGTTCTCAGCTGATACCTCCCAGGCCTCTCTCTGGAACCCTTAGTCTCTCTGTCTGTTTTCTCTGAGTCTCCCCCTCTCTGCCCATCGCCTGTCTCTGTCTGTCTCTCTCTCCCTTGGTGCCCCCACACCTCATCCCAGCCATCACCATCTTGGCTCCCCCAGCAGGGCCTGTGCAGAGCGTGGGTCCCTGACTGAACCCGCTGGGTTCCTCACCTGAGATCAGGATGTCCAGGGGGTCACTGGGGGCCGACCACTCGGAGGAGAGGTTGTGTGCACCGGAGCATCTGTACTGGCCCCCGTAGGAGCGGCTCACAGGGCCCAGGGGGAAGT